TGCACATTGATCCTCGGAATCACCACCAGGTAGATAGTGTTGTGATTGATGAGGCAATACAGGAGGAAGAGAAATATCAATAACCTCTCTAATACTAGTGAGAGAGAGAGGAGCGGAGAAGGAGCAGCACTTCTCTTATTGACGCTTCATAATTATTTAAAGAAGGGAAAGAAGAGTAAAAAAGGAGGAATAATAACGGTAGTAGGTGATAAGGTGGGATAGAACTCGGGCCAGTAGAAGGCGTCTTAGCTTCCTGGTGCAACCCGTTCTCGCAAATTTAATAAGTCAATATTGACTTATTAAATATGTGCATAGGTGACATACTTAACATAATAGTTTCCCTTGAAAAGCTTCATAGAAAACACCGACCTTACCTAACCTACTTAGTATGTTAAGATAAGCATCTTATTGCTTCGTAATTACAATTATTACCTAACCTATACCTATAATAGGTTAAGTAACAATTGTAATTACGAAGCTATAAGATGCTTATTTTAACATACTAAGTAGGTTAGGTAAGGTCGGTGTTTTCTATGAAGCTTTTCAACGGAAACTATTATGTTTAGTATGTCACCTATGCACGCAACTAATAAGTCAATATTGACTTATTAAATTTGCGAGAACGGGTTGCCTGGTGGAGGGGGACGAGGCCTTGTACTGAAATGTGGAGGGATATAACCGTAGAGTTATTTTGTTTTGTGCGGGGTCTGATGATATCCTCATAATGCACCCAGAGTTTGCCGTGTGCCGATAGCGCTATGATAACCCCGTGTGCCGATAGCGCTATGATAACCCCCGTGTGCCGATAGCGCTATGATAACCCCGTGTGCCGATAGCGCTATGATAACCCCGTGTGCCGATAGCGCTATGATAATCCCCGTGTGCCGATAGCGCTATGATAACCCCGTGTGCCGATAGCGCTATGATAACCCCCGTGTGCCGATAGCGCTATGATAACCCCGTGTGCCGATAGCGCTATGATAACCTCGTGTGCCGATAGCGCTATGATAACCCCGTGTGTCGATAGCGCTATGATAACCCCGTGTGCCGATAGCGCTATGATAACCTCGTGTGCCGATAGCGCTATGATAACCCCGTGTGTCGATAAAGCTATGATAATCGCAGCATGTCAATCGATAACAGTTTATTAGGGAGACCGCATCCCTTCTGTCAACATCGATATCGGATCTCGCTTCTGCTTTTCATCTCAAACTTCTTCCGCCACCTTCCTCCCCCCCTTTCCTATTCCTTCCCCACTTTCCCTTCCCTGTCTACCCCCTATTCCCCAATCCCCCACCGTGTTCCACCAACCCTCCCATAAACCTCCTTCCCCTCTCGTTGCTCCACAGATTCCTTCAGAATATCTTTATCCTGCTATCTTTTCTCACCTCGTTACTTGTTCCCCAACACCTCCCTGGCCATTCAGGATCTCATCTGGCGCTCTCTAAAATACGCTTCCCCTCTCTCACACTCTTACAGACTTCACAGACTCTCTCAGACTCTCTCAGGCTCTCTCAGACTCTCTCAGACTCTCTCAGACTCTCTCTCTCTCTCGGCTCTCACAATATGAATCGCAGGCTTGTGGTGGGCTCGTGTGGTCTGGCTCGCCAGTCCTTCCATCAGGCTTATTGGGGCTTTCTTCGGTGTTTATATCCGGGTCTGCTGTTGTGGGGGTGTGCTGTTGTGGGGGTGTGCTGTTGTGGGGGTGTGGGGGTGGGGGGGAGGGTTGTGCTGTTGTGGGGTGTGCTGTTGTGGGGGTGTGCTGTTGTGGGGGTGTGCTGTTGTGGGGGTGTGCGTTGTGGGGGTGTGCTGTTGTGGGGGTGTGCCTGTTGTGGGGGGTGTGCTGTTGTGGGGTGTGCTGTTGTGGGGGTGTGCTGTTGTGGGGGGGGGTGTTGTCTGTTGTGGGGGTGTGCTGTTGTGGGGGTGTGCAGTTGTGGGGGTGTGCTGTTGTGGGGGTGTGCTGTTGTGGGGGTGTGCTGTTGTGGGGGGGGTGTCCTGTGCTGTTGTGGGGGTGTGCTGTTGTGGGGGTGTGCTGTTGTGGGGGTGTGCTGTTGTGGGGGTGTGCTGTTGTGGGGGTGTGCTGTTGTGGGGGTGTGCCTGTTGTGGGGGTGTGCTGTTGTGGGGGTGTGCTGTTGTGGGGGGGGGGGTGTTGTTGTGGGGGTGTGCTGTTGTGGGGGTGTGCTGTTGTGGGGGTGTGCTGTTGTGGGGGTGTGCTGTTGTGGGGGTGTGCTGTTGTGGGGGTGTGCTGTTGTGGGGGGGGGGGGTGTTGTTGTGGGGGTGTGCTGTTGTGGGGGTGTGCTGTTGTGGGGGTGTGCTGTTGTGGGGGTGTGCTGTTGTGGGGGTGTGCTGTTGTGGGGGGGGTGTTGTTGTGGGGGTGTGCTGTTGTGGGGGTGTGCTGTTGTGGGGGTGTGCTGTTGTGGGGGTGTGCTGTTGTGGGGGTGTGCAGTTGTGGGGGTACTGTTGTGGGGGTGTGCTGTTGTGGGGGTGTGCTGGGGGGGGGGGGTGTTGTTGTGGGGGTGTGGTGTTGTGGGGGTGTGCTGTTGTGGGGGTGTGCTGTTGTGGGGGTGTGCTGGTGGGGGGGGGGGGGGTTGTTGTTGTGGGGTGTGGTGTTGTGGGGTGTGCAGTTCTCACGCACGTACGCCGGGTAGTCTAATAGCCAGGTATACTCCAGGTATTCCTCAGGTATACTCTGTACTCCAGGTATACTCCAGGTATACTCCAGGTATACTCCAGGTATATGCTCTAGGTATACTCCAGGTATACTCCAGGTATGCTCCAGGTATGCTCCAGGTATGCTCCAGGTATACTCCAGGTATGCTCCAGGTATACTCCAGGTATACTCCAGGTATGCTCCAGGTATGCTCCAGGTATACTCCATGTATACTCCATGTATACTCCATGTATACTCCAGGTGTACTCCAGGTATGCTCCAGGTATACTCCAGGTATTCCCGAAAGCACTTCCAGGTATACGAACGTGTACATCTTTCCTCAGACGACTTTGGTTACATTTATTAAACAGTTTACAAGCATGAAAACTTGCCAGTTGTTATTGTTATAAACAGCCTCCTGGTGCTTCGGAGTTCATTAACTGTTTAATAATTGGAAACAAAGCCGCCAAATATTGAGAAAAGATGTACAGGTTCGTAAGTGTTTGCGTAAGTGCTTTGGTGAATCTGGCGCCAGGTATACTCCAGGTATACTACAGGTATGCTCCAGGTATGCTCCAGGTATGCTCCAGGTATGCTCCAGGTATACTCTAGGTATGCTCCAGGTATACTCCAGGTATGCTCCAGGTATGCTCCAGGTATGCTCCAGGTATACTCCAGGTATGCTCCAGGTATACTCCAGGTATACTCCAGGTATGCTCCAGGTATACTCCAGGTATGCTCCAGGTATACTCCAGGTATACTCCAGGTATGCTCCAGGTATACTCCAGGTATACTCCAGGTATGCTCCAGGTATACTCCAGGTATACTCCAGGTATACTCCAAGTATACTCCAGGTATACTCCAGGTATACTCCAGGTATACTCCAAGTATACTCCAGGTAAGATACAGTCATATAAGAGTGTTTTTTTAACATTTATGAGTCTTAAGAAATGTGCTAAGGTAAATATTTTACAGTAAATATGATTGTAAATGTTGATTTTACAGTTGTGTTTCTAAGGTGTAGAGGGGTGAAAAATGTCAGAATATATCTTGAAGACCGGGGACCGGTTACGTTGTCCTGAGTGATGAGGTGTTTGTGGTCCTTATAGGCGGGTGGTGGTCAACGCGAGATCATGCAATGGAACCGGATTAACGGGTAATCCAACCCTCTCGTGTTCCGTGTTGCTCACACTGCTAAATCCTCTCGTCTGGATTCTCTCCTCCCTCACCTCACAATCACCACCATCATTGTTGTTGTTGTCGCTTGCCGCCGCCACGCGACCTTTTCCCACATGTTGTGTTGGGGTGTTTCACCGGTGTGGAGCAGCACCTGGGGCCGCCCATCCATCACCCGCCCACACTCTGGTTGCAGGCTGGTCTGGGGGGAGGGGCAGGAGGGGAGGGGCGGGGGGGGGGAGGGTTGGCGCCTGCTGCATCCCTTGTTCCCTCCCACCTCCCCTCCCCTACTGTAGCCCCCTCTGCCAGTCACCCAGAATTTCATATGAGAGGAGCCAAGCGAACATATCCAAACTATGATAACCTGCTATCATAACTCGCTCTATATTTCCCCAATTCTAAGCTTTTCCTCTCATCTGTGCCTTTTCAACTTACTTCTCCCCCCCCCCCTTCCCCCCCAAATAAAAGTTTCTACCCCCTCCCTTGCCCCTCCCTATTGCAACCTCTCGGCAGCCTACAATATCCCCTTCCCCTAAATAATAGCTCCTCCCCTCCCCCACTACAGTCCCTCACCTCTCCTAATGCTTCTCTCTCCCCCCCTCCCACGACCCCAACAACAGCCTTCCCCCCTCCCACTACCGTCCCCTCCCCTCCCTTGCAGCCTCTCGTTATATCTCCACGAGCTCTCATCTTTCCGTTCCACAAGTCTGTTGGTTCCAGTGTTGGAAGTCTCCAGGTGTTTGTATCCAGCACGTGATGAGCTGTTGAGTACGTGAGTGTGGTCACGCGACCCCATCCTCAGAGCACTGCTCAAGTACTGGCTAGTTCACTCGCCACTCACCTCATGAATGAGGGACTCGCCACTCATGACTCATCACGGATTAGGGTGGAAATATTCTTGATGGGTTGGGATTGGACGCAGCTTTAACGAGCATAGCCTGGAGATACATGTACTCACCTAATTGTGCTTGCGGGGGTTGAGCTCTGGCTCTTTGGTCCCGCCTCTCAACTGTCAATCAACTGGTGTACAGATTCCTGAGCCTACTGGGCTCTATAGGTAGAGGTCTATCTATCTATACATGTATAGTTGTTAGACTGTGAACTGTGAACCGTGAACCACTTGATTAGTGGCTCTCCAATCAAGCACTAATTCATCTCTTCTTCTTCCCGACAGAGGTGGTCATGAGGGAGAAGAAAGGCGGAGCTTTAAGCAAAGTTCAAAAACTCAAGAGACGCATATCAAACAGCTTCGGGAAATTAGGTAAGTAACTGTTAACTTTCTCAAGACGCACTTGCCCCATTCTCCAGTCTTAACATGCCTACTACAGTCGCCTTGTATGTCTATGGAAATGATTGGGTAATATTATAGTGAGAAGACCATTTCTTAGTATTTCTTAAGACCTTCACTTATTACTCTTTAAAAAATAGTAGGAGTCAAAAATTCTCTTGCTGTTTACGACAGTATTCGAAGACATTGTTTAAGGTCTGGTCCGAAGGTCCTGAGGTTCCGGGTTCGATCCCCGGTGGAGGCGGAGACAAATGGGCAAAATGTTTCTTTTAACCCTGTTGCCCCTGTTATCTAGCAGTAAATAGGTACCTGGGATAACTCCCAGGGTACCTATTTACTGGATAACTCCCAGACAGCTGCTACGGGCTGCTTCCTGGGGGTGTGTAACAAAAAGGAGACCTGGTCGAGGACCGGGCCGCGGGGACGCTAAGCCCCGAAATCATCTCAAGATATAACCTCAAGAAGGTGAGGTATATAAGATATATAAGTATATAAGATATACCTCGTTTATAAGACTTGGTCCAAAATATTTGTAAATTGCAATTTAACCTTAGGATTACAATGTAAAATTATCCTAAAATTAGAATATATTTATATATTAGTTGCCTAATAAGCAGAGTTTTCCTGAAATTTTATATTTTTCTAAAAATAATTCCTTACGGCATACTGCAGCTTCAAGTTACAATATATATATATGAACGTCTTTTAATTTGAATTAAAACTAACGTAGAAATGTTATGAAACCTAACCTAACCTAAGTCATTAATTCTTCTTAATATAGTATAATATTAATTTAAATAAACCAATATAAACAGAAATATTTGAAAATATAAAAAATTAATATGCCTATAAGGCAAATCGGGTCTTGCATAGTGGGCATAGTAGTGCGTTCTGGCTATTGGTAAAACATTTATATATATATATATATATATATATATATATATATATATATATATATATATATATATATATATATATTATATATAAATAAAATATGCTCCCTCGAGTGCTACATATCCTCTTCTTCGAGGCCAAGAGTCCCTACAAACACAACCAGTGGTGGTGCCCTCCATATATCTTGTTCATTTTTCACGTGTATATACAAAAGGAAAGGGGGTGGTAGGACAAAAGAAAATGGAAACAGCATTAGAGGGGGACCTAAAAATCCCTTCCAAGGCGATGTGTGCGCTTCTCTCCGAGGCTAAGAGTCCCCCCCTTCTTCCAGCCAGAGGTGATACCTCTTTCCTACATAACATATATTAAAATTAACTGAAGTATACATACCCTGGTTAACCAGTTTTTAGGGTTAAGTTTGAATTAATTATATTGTATACTTTGATTAAATTACATAGAATATTCTTTCCTCTAAATTATGTTGAGTCGAGGCTACCTGGTAACACATCTGGCTCAGATATCATAAGAGAGCCCATATGATGATAGCGAGTGTACTCAAGTGTACTCAAGTGTACTCAAGTGTACTACAGGTGTAGGTAGAGAACTGTTACACGTCCAGGAAACGGATATTAGGTTTCAGACAGGTCTCTTATCATGTACTAGATTGAAATTGAAATAAGTTTATTGAGGTAAAATACACACAAAGGGATGAGGTAGCTCAAGCTGTTTTCACCCCGTTCAGTACAACGTACTAGATCAGTCGGTGGTAATCTTTCTCCATTAATAAGGGGCAGAGAGCCAATGATGGGCGGAAGGATGACCTATTAAAAGGGGGGTGAGGGGTGTAGGGTGACCTAGTGACGGTGGAGGGGGGGGGGACCTCGTGGCCGTGGTGGAGGGTGGGGGGGTGTAGGGTGACCTAGTGACGGTGGAGGGGGGGGGGGAAAGGGGGGTGTGGGAATGACAAACCCAGGGCAAGGTGCTCATTAATTTCTGCTGGGCCGGTCGTGAAAAGTTGACTGGGATTGGCTGGTCTGTAATTAGCGAGACCTCGCCTTGTGTGTTTGAAAGAGAGCTGGTGGTGGTGGAGGCCCGCTCAGAAAAGTGCAACCCGGAGAGAGAGAGGTTTCTGTGGTGATAAATTCCTCCCCAGACTGACTTGTGGGTCCCAGGGGGGAGGGGGGAGGTGGGGGGGGGAGGGAGGGGAGGGGGATGTGGGGAGGGGTGTATTAGCCGAGAAGATGGATTTAGAGGGATTTCGCTGTAGATTTTGTACTTGGCTTCATTCTCGACTCATAAAGTACAAAACAGTCCAGAGAGTAAAGGTGAAGAGAAATAAAATATCCTCTTGGTGTTACAATAAAAGTCAGCCGCAGGGTCATGTCATATACTTGTGTGTAATCAATTCCCTGTAGTTTAGCTGGGGAGAAAGACACGGTAGGAAATGCAGAATAGATTATCAGCACAATCAGAGAACACTGAACATCAGGGGTCCACGGCTGTTCAGTACTCTTCCCTACAAACATAAGAAATATTGCCGGAACAACCGTGGATTTCTTCAAGAAACGGATAACTTCCTGCAAGAAGTGCCGGACCAACCGGGTTGTAGTGGATATGCGGGCCTGTGAGCCGCTGCAAGCAACAGCCTGTTGGACCAAGTTATCACAACTTAAACTTGGCCCCGGGCCTTGGGGAGTAGAATAAACTCTCAGAACTTTCTCCCAGATATACTCCAAGTATATATATCCATATTTAATATAGCAGTATGCTCAAGCCTTGGTGATCTGAAGGGAATTACGTACGATTATGGGACGTTGTCTGTAGTGTTTGTGTATACTCTGTCGCTCTTTATACAGACAGACTAACTGTGTAGACTCCACGAGGTTATCTTCCTTGAGGTTATCTTAAGATGATATCGGGGCTTTAGTGTCCCCGCGGCCCGGTCCTCGACCAGGCCTCTACCCCCAGGAAGCAGCCCGTGACAGCTGACTAACACCCAGGTACCTATTTTACTGCTAGGTAACAGGGGCATAAGGTGAAAGAAACTCTGCCCATTGTTTCTCGCCGGCGCCTGGGATCGAACCCAGAACCATAGGATCACAAGTCCAGCGTGCTGCCCGCTCGGCCGACCGGCTCACCTGGAGGGGCGAGTTCGGAACACTGTCACATCTCGCACCCGAACACGCTGCCTCAAGTTTAAGAAGCACAATAGAGCACCCGACCTCTAGTTAAAAAGTCACAAAGAGACTTCTCGGCTCTGTTGAGCCCTTTAGACAACAGAGCACCCAACCTTAAGCATGAAAAGCACAACAGAGCACGCACAAGAGTCCATAATATGAAGTACGAGAGCCCAGGCTTTCCTAGAGCCCTGGGCTCTCTAAGGAGAGCCCCTAGAGCACTGGTCCAGGCTGACACCTCCAGTCAAGACAAGTGAAATATAGCACCAACGTAAACCCTTTAATGGCTACATAAAACCTGTATAGCATGTGAACTACGGCCCGGGACCGCTTAAACCGCCGTGAAAACCAGCCCATCCGCTCGACTAATGCCTCTCACTTTGTACGCTATGGTACACAATAGCGTACACACGCTACGTACGCTATTTCGTACGCAACGTTCAAGCTATACAGGTCACTATGGAAAATAACAGCTCGCAAGTATCCACGTTTTCTATGTGTTGGTTAAGTTAAGGTTAGGTGGGTGCATTGGGTTCATGCGTTTTAGAACCTTTTATTTTGCACGCTGTGGCGGATAGAGAAAACGGGCTGAAGATAGGCTGCTTTTAGAGCGGAGACGAGAGGGGTTACTCAGTAATATATGGACTACAAGTGGAGGATCTGAGAGTCAAACTGTGGGACTAATTGCAGCTTAAGTCTATTCTTAGAAGAATGTTGTTCTATTATTAAAGGAAATAGTTGGGGGTCCCCGGCTGCATCCGTCCCTCCCCCCCATCTTCCCTCCCATTTCCCTCCCAGTGCATAATTTCTCATGTTGCTTAAGAGTAATTTTGATATTATTGTTTTTCAAATATTTAAGCAGGCATAGCTGGCGGCCAATTCCAAAGTCAGGCTTGGGGATCAGGATGTAACCATGCCACTAAGTATTCTTTTCAATTATGGCAACCACAACCAGCCTAAAATAGAACCCAATTGTCTAGCCGCCAACCTTGGACACAGACAGACAGACAGACAGACAGACAGACAGACAGACAGACAGACAGACAGACACAGACAGACACAGACAGACAGACAGACAGACAGACAGACAGACAGACAGACACAGACAGACAGACAGACAGACAGACAGACATTCTCATAGATATAGACGATTAAAAATAGTCCACACCAATCAACAAACAATTCATAACTGAGATTGAAGAATGAGGAATACTGTAAACGACTGATGATAACAACCATCATTACGGAACAACTATACAATATTCTCATAGTTGACACTACACAGCAAGAGTTTGAAGCAAATTAGACATTATACAGGTAAGTTAGGCATTATACAGGTAAGTATACTGAGCAGTACACAAGTAGGACAATATACAAATTGGGGAACATATAAGTTGAGTAGTATACAGATAAGTTAGATAATATACAAGTTAAGAAATATTCTAGTTAAGTAATTTATAAAGTAATGTAAAGTAGTCATTGTACAAGTAAGCAGTGGGTGTGTGTGGTATTACTAGGGGAGGCGTGGGTGTGTGTGGTATTACTAGGGGAGGCGTGGGTGTGTGTGGTATTACTAGGGGAGGCGTGGGTGTGTGTGGTATTACTAGGGGAGGCGTGGGTGTGTGTGGTATTACTAGGGGAGGCGTGGGTGTGTGTGGTATTACTAGGGGAGGCGTGGGTGTGTGTGGTATTACTAGGGGAGGCGTGGGTGTGTGTGGTATTACTAGGGGAGGCGTGGGTGTGTGTGGTATTACTAGGGGAGGCGTGGGTGTGTGTGGTATTACTAGGGGAGGCGTGGGTGTGTGTGGTATTACTAGGTGAGGCGTGGGTGTGTGTGGTATTACTAGGGGAGGCGTGGGTGTGTGTGGTATTACTAGGGGAGGCGTGGGTGGGTGTCCTAGT